TATATATATATATATATATATAATATGTTACACAAAACTGTGGAAATCTGTAACAGCTTCTATGCATTATGGCATCCTCACGGCATCGTTTAACTCGATCAGTGGACAACATACCCTTCAAATTACAAGTTTGATCGTGTAACTTTTTTGAAATCGCCTAGTTATCAAAGGTCAAAGACTAGATTAACGGATCATGAGAAAATGTTTTCGCCATAATCACTAAGACGAGCTTCTCTCACTAGGTACTCGTTGGAAGTAAAGGAATCGGTGGAGTGTGAATATAATCTACAGTGGTCTTCCTAAAACTGTCACGTACAAATAATGCGAAAAGGGAATTTCAGTACCGGAAACCATCAAGCTATCAGGGAATGGCATTTTAGCAGATAGCTTTGTCCAAGCAAAATAGCTTTGATTTGACATAAGCAACCCCCTATCATCAGGGTGACTTAACTGGAAGAATCCCTGAGTGTTTTGTGTTTGTACGTTTTTACGGAGCAGAAAACTGACCGCCGTTGTTGTTGTTCATATTATTTAGGTGCATTCATCACAAAAGTGAGGAGTGATTTCTAGCGAATACACACTCATCTGCAAACTAATTTGGTTCTTTCGAACCCAGCTGAATCTCTCGTTTATGATGTTCTCAGGCAACTGAATGTGCTGCACCAGGCCGCCTCATGTTTCAGTCGCTACGATATTTGAAATATCGCGATACATGTATATTTGTAATGTACTACTCATTTACCGGAAACAAGACAGACGTAATGGTGCCTGACTGATTAGAAACATACGTATTGTCCAGACGAATACGCATATAGAAAAGATATCTGGGAAGAGACACAATATTCCACCAAAATTTGATTGCCACACGACAACATAGAAGACAACAATAATAATAGTTTAGCTCTAACACCCTTTCTGTGTCTAACTGCCATGCCACAGGAAGGAAGCGTACGGGCTGGGATAATGCCAGGTGGCCCGAGCCCAGACAAGGGAAGTCGAGGGACAGAGGTCAGGTTCGAGCCACGGACCATCCCGTCAGTAAATTAGGGCTCTGACCATTGAACCATCTTGCCCCCCAACACAGAAGGGAGGCTCACAATGCCTCCAGAAGATCCCAAGCGGTCAAACGATCGAACCGATTGCATCTGTGAAGCACGATGCGAGGGTTGTGGAGACAGTGAGGAACTGCGCGTACAAATTAGCAAACACAAGAGACTTTCCTACCCTCAGAATTCCAGTCGACTCAACAGTCGTATTTTATGGCCTGGCTGAGAGCAACAAGATTCTGTTTAAGCAAACCAAAATACACCATGGACACCTAGTACAGTAAGGATAAACTGCCTAAAAACCCACATCTACCAAACAATATTTTTCACCTACATGTAGCGCAGACGGGACCGTTCAACACTAGAAAAAGGAGCACGAAAATTAAGTCCATGAGCTTCAACACAACCTACATAGGTAAACACAAAATAAGTTTTTCGGCATAATTTCTAGGTTGTTGACTATTTCGATTTTGTCACAGAATGACACGTGTTCGTTCGCCAACATGATTTCGACCACTTGTTTTCTGATAAATGTCGCTGAAAAACGTTGTTCTCAAAAACTAAAGGATTTGATTTGATACACGCAACGTTCAAAATCATTGTTTCAAATTTGTCAAGTTTGCTTAAATGACTTCGTTTTGGTAGGAGAAGTGCCTAAAACAAGAAGAGATGGTAACGAATGTCTAGTCAACATGGTCCAACGACGTGGCTACTTGGAGATATAAGTAGTTGATATTTAGCGAAATTGTTCACCACGGAAAAATTCTCCGGAGACCCCAGCTTTCCTACTAAAAAACGTGTATTATCTTCGGCTGGGAAAGATTGAGTGACACCAGAGATGAATTCTTGGCGTTTTGAAACTAGGTTAGAGTAGAGAATCAACTAAAGGGTCAAATAGGGGGACATGACGATGTTGCAAACCGGGAACAGTGTAGAGAATTCATTGCCACTGCACAAAATTTACATTTAAACGCGCGTGAAGTTTTCAAATTCCGAAACCATCTACAATTACTCCAAAAATTATCAGGCAGCTTTCAAGCATCCGTGGGGATACCTGACTGGGAATTCCTGAGATGTGGGCCAATCGATCAACACAACCGAGGAAGTCAACGTTCGATACGTCAAGCCAACCAATCACATCACCCCAGAGTGAACATGTTCGCCCGTTCAAACGTGAAATTTAGATGCGTGGAGTAGCGCTGATATGCTTGTCGAGCATGTCAGATGTGCGGGGGCCAAAACCCGGCACGACCATTGGATATCTACTGCTGATGAGCTCTAATAAGAACGAAACTCGAGTCCAGTGGTTTTCTTTTATGTGTAGACTCACCCGGAGGATTGCACCAGAACAGGAGGCCAACCGCTCAAACAAGAGTGAATTTAGCGTGGAAACTATCCACTGACCCGGACAGATCGCTAAATATGGCTCAACTTAGAACAATTTGTAGTAACGGCCACACCACCATCATTGAGAACAATACACCAGCACTAAATAATGTTAAACACGGTAAATGTCAGGAAACACATACAACCGATGATGTTTACGGCTGTGCGTGCGTTGAGGTACTGTCAGTACACCCAGACCTGGATAGGAGGACGAGTGAGTCCCCAAAAGATGAAGGTGCAGACCGTATGGTAGCGGTAGTCAGCGCAAAACCACAACTACAGAAGACCTTCAAGGAAAAAAGTTGCCATAACTATTCCAACCGTCCAACCTGGACAACCAGCAGACTGTGTCAGCTGGTTGGTGACCCTCACGGGATATGCAAGCCTCTGCATCACGAGCCTCTCTGTATGCGGAGTAGAATACCAGCAGATGATTTGCAGAACTGTGATGATGTTTTCTATCTGTGCGGACGTGCAGTTGCATATGAGGTCGGCAGATAGTCCGGAAAAACCTGTGAAGATCACGAAGTAACGCGTCAGGAAGCATAATACGAATATGTTTTGTCTACGTATTCCTGGAGTTCAACCAGAAGGGTGACCCTCATTCATTCCACTAATTTTGGGAATTTCGGTATATTGTGGAAGATCACTATCAGTGTTTGTCTTAATTTGCCAGAACTCCGAAAAACTCGTTATATGAGTGGCTTCCCCCCTGTTCCTCCGGTGTGGTGACCGAGTAAATTAACTGAGCACCAAAGGGAACACAAACGGAAATAAAACCTGGTGAGTGGCCTCACATCGAGGGATTGTAAACAACGTCGCAGACGACGGAACGTTGGAGTGGATCCTTCGAATGGGTGACCGTCTTTGTAAGAATTACTGCTGAGAAAAAATGTAACGCCGTGTGATTTGTCTATTCGTCGACCGCTGCAATTTTTATCCAAATTATTTCGTTTCAAGATGTTTGATGCGGATCCAGCCGATAAGCCCGATTATGACGAACACGGATATGAATCTCCAGGCTCTCCCTATACAATTTCACAGAGCAAACAATCACAAAATGTGATTCCAGTAAAGTGGCTAGGCCAAGAACAAGGTAATTAAAGGTAGTGTTGACCACAAAGATTGTAGTTCCGTCTGTCTAGAAGTTTAACTATACTAGAGACACTGAGTCTAGTAGTCGGGGCATATCAAAAAGAAAAAAGAACGTCCCAAACTATTTTCGTTATGTCGGGCTTGCATTTCCATTTTCAGAGTAAATTTCCCAGAATTAAGTCACAAACGATTTGACACTGGACGACTCGAAAGTTTTACCGCTGTTTCGCAGCAAACTGTCTTTTTAATATACTAAATAGCCCCGAAGCAACAACCGATACGATAATAGGGTAAATTTTATTTGAAGAACCATAATTCTAATCGGAAAAATGGTAGATACCTCACCCAAATCGAGTTGTCCCGCCAACAATCATGAAGTAGGTCATTTTAAATTATTTTTGACTGTGGGTTCGAACGTGTGCCGTATATTCAGGTAGTATGGTTTGGCTAGGTAAAAACGACAGAAGCCGGTAGGATGTCTCAGAAGAATTTAGAGGAAGAAAGATGTAGTTTTTACCGCTTCATCTTCGTTTAACCAGTGTGAAGGTAGTTATTGATGAGGAGACCTAAAATAAATGCCACAAAGCAGGTAGATGTGACCGAAGCATACGAAACTTAAACCACTGTCATAGGGCAGGTAACTGGTGAAAATAAACAATAGTCACATCAGAGTGTGAGATGTATTGGCACTTCGGTCAGGGTTGAATAGCTACTTCCATGATGTTATGTACGAACAATAGATGAAGAGTGCAGGTAATCTTAAAAAAGCTGTTCAGGCACGAACACTTGACTGCTACCCTCCAGTTAGGGCTACATGATACGTTCAGTATGACTCATAGAGTTCATCTGAAATGAAAATTGCTCGCTGATATTCCGCTTTCAACGTCACCACTAGTCCTCAACTTCCGAGGCGCGGTTAGGTCAGAAGTTTGTCGTAATGTGTTTAAAACAAATGCATTAGTTACCGCATGTTATGAACAGCTTTCGCATCAATCAAAGCAATGAACCTTTTCGATTCACGGAGTCGCTTTCGAAGCGTCGTCTCGTCTAGGATTGCATGGTTAAATATTTTATTCCGTAAGTTTCCGACTGTCTGGAAACCGGCTGAGCATAACAAAGGCATGAGTCCGATCGACCTAAAACATTCCACTAAATGGTAGTCAATTATCTACGCATTGGTCAACAACACACACTCGGTTTCGCTATTGAGTGAAATCCACATTCACTAAAGATGTTCTGCTAGGATGGCATTCACCAGGAACCAGCTGATTTGGAACGATACCACTCTTATCAATAGCACGTTTTATGTGACGTGATGGTACATTCGCACGCTTCGTCAGGCTCATCGCCGTCCTTGGTGAAGCAACTTGAAACATGAAATGCGCCCTGGCGAAATTTTCAGTGAACCGAAAAATATTAAAGGATGCCTTCAATTAGCAAAACACCTAGGGAGCAGCAGAAAATGTCCAATTAAGAGCAATTACTGCCAAACAAGAATTTTTTTTATCAATATCCGAAGTAGCCACATGGTTTAACCACGGTTAAGTGGGGGATATCAAGTTCCATCTGAAACCATTGAAGTAAAACTGCGGGAGACCAAGGCAGTAAAGTGGAAAAGTACCATTACTGTCTGGACAGTTGACAGATTTGACACATTGCGCTCTAAAACCAAACCACTGCGGTTGTTTCGCTACCAACTGAACGCTTAGTCAGTAAAATTCAAGGAACGATTCGTTTACCTTTCAAAATAGCGGGTGGCTATACAGATGAGCTGTGTAACAAAGTTTCTTTGCCTAGAGAGCCGACTGGGATACCATTACGTGATTCGTATAACATGAGCAGAAGGCGTATCTAATCTGCTTGGCCGAGTACATTACTCGCAAAAAAACTTAAAGGCCGTTTACCATTGGCATCTAAATGGAAGTTGATTCCAAGTTTCTACAGGAAGTGCAACATAAATCTGGTTGTTGACTAGCTTAGTAAGGGTAAGTTGCAACCCGAAACGCTAGACAACTTGTACTTCCAAAACATGGGCCGCAAGGTGTACAAAAGCATTTCTTTTACAGTGTCATCCCGCGTCATGCTGCCTACCTGATTAGGATACGACAGACATTGTGTAAACACCACTTAGCTATCTGCTATACTGAGCATGAGGAGCAAACTTAGTCACCCCAAGAGCAGTGGTATGAGCTAAACTTAAACAGCACCGTTGCATAATTGAGTCAGTGGATCTTTGGAGGACCAGTAAGATACGCACCGACTTGAATGTTGCTGTTCAAGGGCCTCATGTTTCCAAGTTGTCTTCCGTGAAAAAGTGCGTAGCCGTCGACTTAATAAGTATGACATACGTAAAGTCAATACACTCAGTGCCTTTCGACTCGTTTTAGTTTTGAAACTTGCAAAGAAGATCGAGTAATACGGTTTCCACCCTCGATACTGTTGGCAACTGAGCTTTGAGATACACCGTATCCGAGTGGTACCTATCTGTGGTGAGATATTACGTCACAGAGCGCTGTCGAACAGTTGGATGAGAAATGTAGTTGGAACAGTAGACCAGATTATACGGTGGATATGCTCCGGTCAGCTACAAGACTGGTAATTTAAAGGTATAGGCTGTTCGGTGTTGCAGGGAACTCTCAGTGATGCTGTCACATAAACAGCCAGGTCTGTTCGTTTGCACACCATTGATGAATGTCCTGTGGGTACTTTCGTGACGAACACTGTATATCAACGGAACGAAACTTTCGTTTTAGTCGGTGGGAGATCCACTTGTGACAAGCGCGTTCAGAGGGATGTTGGATCCGCAGGCCACCAGTCGACTATGAGTTGTGTGACCTTGTACTTGTGGCTCAGTAGGAGCTAACTGTGTAGCAAAGGTATACCTCACCCCAAGCTAGTTGGGTGGATGTTTGAACTTAGCATGTTGCCTCGGTTAGTGGAGCACCTTATTTGTTCAACTCCTGTGAGGAATCTATTGGGTGTTCAAGCAGTATAACTGACACTGTTCGTTCAACCTTAGGAAAACCATCTCAAAAAGACAACCCGGAGATGATTCGTTGATATCTCTTTACAATCAACCTCTCCTGCGGAAAGTGAAATGACCGATCCGGGAGGGTACTATGTGCTGAAGGGGAATGCAGTACTTACTGATCGCCACGATAGTCTAACCAACTGATTTAATGTGTACGAGCTGGGCAGATTATAAACTTGCCTTGTAATAGCTCACTTAACGGACAATCATAAGGCACCTCTCGTCAACCAACTGCCTCCAACAACACAAGAGTTTAAAAAACCATCGGATCCAAGGCTGTGAAATCCCAAGAATAAACAGGCCAACAGACTCACATTCCAACTATTCTCATTATGATAAAGAAAAGTATTCGCCCAAAAAACTGTCCTGCTACAGGCTGTACGTAGTACCTAATGACAGAGTGAAGATGGCCGATCCTAAGGAATGTGGGAATCCGATGAACGTTCAAGCAAAGCGTTACCAGGCAGCCACCTATACAACCTGAGTTACCAACTTGACCCTCAACAGTATATCTTACTATACCATCCAGGGCATGGAAAGAAACGTCATAAATGGACACTGACAAATGGGTAACCAGTCAAATCTGCTTGAAGAAGTTGCCGGCCAATGCGACGAGGGTAGAAGGTATTCAGTTGAGATGGAAAACTGATAGGGCCTGGTGAGCCTGGACAGAAATTCGTTGTTTTTTGGTCACAGCTCGATCAAAGCTGGATTGTACTGTGCTGGGCAGACAACAAATGCGTAATAGTTGAGCATATACGTCGTGCACATCTTCGGAATCTAGGTCAACCATACTAACATAATCAACAGAAAACCAAATGAAATAGTAGGCTATGAGGGACGAGGCAGAATCTTCCAGCTTGTGAAGACACACCCGGTATAATGTGTTGTGGTTAGTACTGGCAAGAAGACTCCTTTACCGACAGGCACGCGTTCGTCTCGTCCAGTGGGAAAGATTTCGTTAGACATTTGACGTCCCTGGGAATTAAACAATATCCGTCAGCAGCTTACCGGAAAACGGAGGAATTGTGTTCAGGTTAGCTCCTGTGCCTGAAACTATGGAAAAAACATCAACACGCGAAATTAGAGCTTTTTGAGGGAGAGGAATATTGGTCGCGGTCGATGTTATTGTCAAGAAGAGTTTGGGGAAATTTCGACGGAAAAGAATGCGAGTCAGAGATATCAAAACCGTAAGGGAAAGGTCTCAGGACTCCCCAATCACACATCGAAAACCCGACGGTAAAAACCAGCAGAGGACCAATTGAGGAAGTGAAAAATACCCTTCATTCCACTCGTAGACTGAAACCAAACCCTGATAATAACGGTTAGTCATCCGGGTATCTATTATCGAGCCAGCAGACCGGCCAGTATCGAAGGTTAAACTGGAGATAGTAGAACCTACCCAGGTGAGGGTATGATCATAGGTTTTAAGGCTCCCGGCAAAGTCAGGATATTAACGTGGAGCTTGATATATGGAAACAATATGAGCTTCTTCAACGTGATCAAACGTGATTTACTCGTGTACAGACAAATGATTTGCCCTCAGTATTATGTCCTGCCTCTTCCTAGTACTTACTGGGAAGGATAACCGGGCAGTATCAGGACAGTGGACTAAAAACAGGCGAATAAACTTCTCTGAATTGTTTTCTTCTTAAAACTCTCGACCAGCGTATCAAGAAGATCAGCAGACCAACAGGAACGGATGTGGTAACTCCAAAACATAAACAATGGGTGACACGACACCAAACGCACTGGTAAAGTTGGTGTGCATACCACGGCAAAGTCGCAGTGAGTCGGTTGAAAAACTTACGTCTGAGACAACAGTTCCGGAAACCGCCTCTTCGGCTGACATGGACATCACTTTGGCCGATATTGAGGCAGCAGCCAAAGCGACCGCTGATACAGAGGCTTGAGTGACACTACTCGAATTTCCACTTTTTGCGGCAGCGGCGGCCTCAAAGGGTAAAGGCGAACCTCTTGGGGTTATGGCTCGACAAACACGGAGCTGAAGCCCGGCAAGGTCGAAGCCATTCATACTTGTTACGGCTGCGATGGCTTCCTCTTCCGAATGAAAATAAATATAACCAAAGCCGCGATGCCGTCCAGGACATTTCGGATCTGGATACAGTCTGAAGCAAACCAACAAAGTTGCAGCATAATACTGATGTCGATATAACTTTGTTTTAGATAGCGTGGTAGACGTGTGACGATGTTCTCAAAGGACTGAGGAACTTAAACCCAGTAAACATGAAGCTATTTTTGAAAATTCGCGCCCTTTGGGCACGAATTTTTCTTACTAATCTCGCACTTAGAAAAGACTCACTTCCAACGTATCGCGGGCGCTTTATAACTTGGCGACACAGCTAATCAATAATTGTATCAACTTGGACAAACATCATCTAAGGAATCAGAAAGACCTCCATCTCGTGAAAACGAAAATGAACTTGACCTGAAACCGTTCAATAACCAACCAAAATCGACCAACTAACGCAAACACAAAGCTACTCAGGACACGAACCAAAGGCAACGAAACACGTGGAAATTGTCAACGAAGTATCTGAAAAACCCGTGAACAGTACCGTGTGTCATAGAAATCCTGGTCCACTTCAGAAAAAAGGTACTACAGTGAGCTTAGCGGATACTTTAAAGGCTACTAATAAGAAGAGATGTGAGGCGGCTTCCCTAGGCTGGATACAGTACCACCCTGATTGGCCATAAACATTGGCTAACAAGCACTATTGAATCGTCAAACGATCACAATGCTCAAAACAAATTGTGCAGTGTGAGCTTAACGGAGCTTAGGCTGTATGCGCGGTCTGGTGAACTGTAAGCTAAAAAGGAATCAAGCTGTCGCATTTCTCGAGATGCCGATTTTTTCAACTTTATCAACAATAATTCTGTGACAGGCAAGCTACGGAAAAGAAGCTCTTGCCGCGCAAAGGGAGAGTCGAGCGAAATTGGAGAATCCTCAGATTCTTGATGACTGTAACTTGCTTTCGAACATTTAGTACACTTGAGCCGAGAAGATACTCAAATAATGGTCACAGGGAATTTGTGCTTAGTGGAGAACGTGATTAAATAAACATGAAGAGAATGCATCGACTATTATGTAACAGCCTTAAAATGCTACTTCGCGACATTAATCACCATGAGTTACCCTGCTTTCATTTTGTGAAAACATCATCGAGTCGGACCCAGATTGTTCTCTGCCAGGGACTGTAGGTAGAACAGGCTGTTCTATCATCCTTAAAAACAGCCGTCATGGGCCTTTGAACTTCATTCCCTCCATTATGTTAGGGGCATTGCGATCTGCCTCTTTACGACTGGGCTGTAGGCCTCATGATCAAGTCTTCCCACCAGGTTTTGTCCAGCCAAAAGCAACGAATCAGTGCGCAACTCGCGGTCACACTATAACTGCATGCGCATTGGGTCAAGCCGTTATTAGGCTAAAATCAAGGAGCGAACATGAAGTTCTCATAGTTAAATAACCTTCTGTACGCCCGGTCTTTCTGCTATGGTTGTTATGTTTGGAGTTGTAACCATAAATAATCTGAACCCAAGCGTACGCAAAGCCTATGAATCCCAGTAGGGATAAAACAACCATCTTTCCCTGTTTCTTTGATCGTGAACCTCAAAAGACTTCATCAAAAAGTTGTCAGTGTCTTGAAATATAACTAACATGAGCCCGCGGATTTCCGGTCAAATTTGCGAAGGAAGCCGACTGTCTTTGCTGCCTTAATCCATATATTTCAGAACCATATACAACGTTGTTTTGCTCTGCACATGAACCAAAGAAAAAACGTTCGTCTTCATTCTTTTACAAGGTCATGAACCCCCATTTCTACGTGAAACACTTTTGCACGCAACAAAAAAGGGGTCATCGGTTCGATGGCTCATACTTTCCCGATCGGCCTAGTAATACGGAGAAATCTCAGAGTAAACGTGTGGGCGAGTCTAGTGAGCGCACCCACTTGAATGAGATTAGAGGCAGAACAATCTCTAAACTCGCATACATGATTTAGCAAGGTGATGAGACTCGGAAACACCAGAAGTGAAGGTTCCTTCGCCAAAACCACACACGACGTGAGGAATCATTTTTCAAATGTTCATTGACGAAAGCGTGAATGAGCGCGAATGAATGACTTCCAAAAAAGCCTCCGGTGTACTGCTATTTACACTGCTTTAGAAATATTTTTTCACGGGTTATTAAAACCAACACGGCAGTTTGAAGCCACTTATGAAGATGGACGCCAAATTTTTATTGAAGGCGATGAAGAATCCCCTACATGAACGAAACAATTCAGATGATTTCAAAGCTTTGAAAAATGGGTCAGATACTCTCATTTGCATATTTATTTGGTTTTTAATCGAATCTAAATATCTCAAATATGGTCTTTATCAGCGTCCTTGTGAGTAGGGTGTTACGTCTAACAAGAAGTATGCTTTCGTCCATCACTAGAAGTCATCACTCACTTTGAAAATTTCAGCGATACATCAACGGTGTAAGAGTTCAAACAGGCAGATCTATCAGAAACCCAATAACAGCAAGAACGAATACCAAATGATTATCAGAGAAGTGATTCTGTTCCTGCACTTACACACATTCTTCGACCTTCCCGAAAGCTTCAAACACTGTTTGCATATCTGCTTCTGTCAGTTCCGGATGAACTGAAGCAACATACACTCGACATCGAGTATTCTCATCCGACCGTAGCTCGGTTTCTAGATTACCCGTCTGAGGAGCATTACTTGGTCGTCCAACCTAGTGAGGAATAAAAGGGTGAGAAAAGTGCAGTTAGTCAAGCACGAACTGTTGGAACAATAGGATCAAAGAGTCTACCAATACAGTCGAACATTATACAAGGTAAGTTGGCTTCGCAGATTACTCCGTTGGGTTGAGAGGGGTAACACTTAAGTAATTTTTATTAACATGATAAGTCTTGAAATAACTCATGCACAGTATTTATAGAAAAAAAACAACCACGAACCTCATCGACATGTTGGTGTGCAATACTTGATCTAACAGTTCCTAAAAGGTCACGGGAGCAGCGGAGCGGTTTCATACTGGCAGGAAGTTATCGACCACACATCGCACGCAATGGCAACTTTGATAAGAATCTGCACATATTGACATGCAGTACCATTTCCCTGACATGTGAGCTACCGGTGGCTGAACAGTCATATGATTAACATTTACCGGTGCACTATGAAGGGCCTTTACCAACATCCCATGAAGATGCACAGGATCCCTATCTACTCGATTGGCGAATTTCCGGCGGAAAACGAGACGAAGTTCATTCGGTGGTCTCCCTCGGTTTAACCCAGTTTTCAAATCCTGTGAAGGACACGCTAATGATGATACCATCCGGGAAGAAGCCTCTGTGCAGGGCTTCTAAGTTTTTAACACTCATCGACCAGGTGCCATATAACTCTCCCCTATTCAAAGCCTCATGTCCCATATAAGTACAAAAAATCAATGGCAGCAATACACCAGTAATACATACTGGCAGCTAAATGCCATAAAAGTTCCCAGTTGTATGGGGGCTGAGATAATGACAGGTAGCCCAAACCCAGACGGAACGATTAGGATCTCTAAGTAAACTCTTTGCTCAAAAGACTGATCGCATAGCAGCGACGGCTCGAGTAACCTATGTTTTAAGGGACCAATTGCGCCACCTGTTTCAAACAGCAATCTGCGCGATCAGAAAATTGTACTAGTCGGACGGCCATCCACCGAGAAACCTGGTGAATGAGACTGTGGGTGTTGAATGGCTATTCTCTATGATAACTCAACGAGTTACAGAGGTACCCAAATCGCAGCACCACGATAAGTTCCAGTTTTACCACGATGGTTTGCCTTACAATGTGTAGCAAGCTTCGTTCTAGAAGGCCGTTGGCGAATATTTATACTCAAAGAAAGCACTGGAATATGTCGTAGGCTATGCGCAATGATAGAAGTACTGCAGATTGGTTGTTCATCTGTTCACCTAGCTTGGTAATTGGATTGCGGATTTTCGAGAAAGTTCGGTGACAATCGGATTGCAGATTATCCAGAGAATGCATAGATGAAATCTCCGGTCTGACAGATTTATATCGGCATTTTGATGCCCATATGGATGTTCGTTTATCGCTCATTTAGACTCTGTTTTTCAACCAAGAAACGCATAAATGTGTACTGTCATCCCAGGATTAATCCTGCATTCATACCCTTCGGTGCACAGCAACTCCAATAAAAAATGCAATCTCTCGAGACCAGACAAAACCGTTCGGTATTATAAAGAGTTGGATGCATTAGAATTTGGCCCGGTACCACCCTTCCACCCATAATGTAACGATGCGTGATCTCCATACATCGTTTAATGACTGCAATAAAAAATCCTCCTTAGAAGAATATACTGGAGACTGATCGGTCAGTATGACATACTGGATCTTTCCCAGCGTAACCAGTGAAGTAGGTCGGATATATTTCGTGCTGATTGGACCGAGTAAGCAAACATAGACGCAGGGTATGAAGAATTCCAGTTGCCTACGATATGAAGCCATGCATTCCCCTGATGGCAAAGGACAAGAACACCTAGCTAGACAGGTTTTGTAGGGACGACTTGCATCAATCCAATCAGATGTGGCTGACCACTGAACTGGAAGAGTATGGGAAAGATTACGAAATGTCAGGGTGTTGTCGGTGCGACCCATCTACCAGGATACGGACCGCGTGATTGCCACTGTGCCTGGTTGGAGACGCTGCAAGAAATGGCTGCCAATCAATATCAACAGCGTTCTTGATGTCCGTTTCTAATCAGATTGCTCGAATGAGTGTCTGGAGGTGTAGCTACCTCGGAATGATTGTGGTACGATAGTACTAGGTCCCTTCCCCGTCCACCTTTATTCTTTTCCCCACAATAAGGCTTTCAAATAAGTCATGGTGGCACGGCAGCGAAGCATCAGTGTTGAACACTGATGTTATACTATCGACGATGATTACTCTAATCAACTTGATCAAAGTGCCCGGTTCATCATCAACAGTATAGTCTTCATCACTAACGTGGACTTCATACAAGTGACTACTTCAGTGACAATGAAGTAGTGACGCATGAATCCTGAAAATTGGAAATGAAGATAAGTGAAGTCATAATCTCTTCAAAACGTTAAGCAGCAACTATGTGCTACATGAATACGGCTACACGTACTGCAGAAAATCAAGCGAATGACTGACTACCACCTCAATGACTAGCTGCACCGAAACTGGACCGTACAATGTTGAACATAAATTGGCCATAACAAAAGCTCAAGGAAAAAAGTACGACAACCTTACAGGAGTACCTAGTTGAGTAAAACTCACAGTCAAACTAACTGATAGTCAGAAACCAGGTAACAAGAACTCATGTTAACGAGGATAAAACAATACAGATGCCAATTCCTATCTTTAACATGACTCCAGGAAATAAAATAATTGACCATCAAGTCTTTCTGATTGAGGGGTTGAAGGAAAATTTCGAGAAAAATTTCGTTCAATGGGTGTGTTTGGCCTGTAACCCAATTTAGTCACACTGGTCACCGAAGAAATGAAACAAAGATAGAAACCTTGTCGGCCTGTTCTGAATGATGATACTTCGTCTGGATGACTTCAAGCTGAGAGGAAAAGCTATTGCGTGGCCGCCTTTCGGAGCGGGTTCTCTCACAATGAGGTTGTCAGTTCAAAGTGCTGTTATAAAACAGACGTCTGTGGGGTAGTCATTTCTAAGGGGTTTAGTGCGTCGCTACAGCCACGAAGGTAAGGTGAAAAAAGTCAGTGACAATGCCAGTCATTGGAGCATACCTTCAGCTCGTGCAGTCAGAACCACATCACAAGACTGAAAGTTTGTTATTTTACAAATCCTAGGCACTAACGACTCATTAAACTGCATGGACCCGACTAGAGCTCGGTCACACACGGGTGCCATACAAAAGGCAACTGCTTTATTGATACTATCCCAAAAGGGTCAGTGCATGGAACACCATCAGATCCGATCGCATGACAAACAAACGTATATACCTTCAAGGTTCTCCCTGCCAACGTATGCCCATTCATTTGTTCCAATGCCAAAGAGGCTGCTTCGGGCACTTCAAACTCCACAAAAGCGAATCCTTTGTGCTTCTGAAGTGTAGCATCCCAGCTCAGTGCAACCGACTTGATTGGACCGAATGGGCCAAACGTCCTGCGTAGTTCGTCCTCCCCCACTTCAAAACTAATGGATCCAACGTAAATTCTGCTGAGAAGTATGAGCGCTTGATTTCGTTTCAGTGTATTCAGATCCTACAAAACGTACACGTGAACAGCAGAACGGAAAACACCCACCTGTTGATGTAACTGAGCAGCCTGTTTGTTCAGGGCATTTTGAATGCTTTGCTCCAGAGCATATTTCTTGGCCCGGTCTACAGCGAATTTCTGATCCTCATTCAGGGGCAAAAGAGTGAACGGTTGTGGGCGAGCATTTTTTCCGAAAACTATCGTATCAGAAGGTGCTGAAAGTGGGAAGGTGGTCAAGACAGGGAGGCCACCGATTGCCGAACGATCAAGGCTCACCATTAGGTCTGCTAAAAAGACAAATGAAGACACACTGGTTTGGTAATCATTTTATCTTCGATCAACAATATGACCGTACATGAGTATTCAGATTAGCTTAATAAAGCAAAAACTGCTGAGTACTCTACACTTCAGTAACTTGTTACTGCTCAGTAAATAGCACGGCGCCATGGTGAAAAGTTTGTGACTGCAGCGAAGAAACCTGCGCAATCCAGTTTATTTTTCGTGGTACCTCCCATCAGTAAGTACGTTTAAGTGCGTAGGGAAATGTGTTAAGACAAGAAAACGATCGGCAATAGGCCAAGTCCTCCACGATTAGAAGTTATGTTGAATGGCTGCGAGTATCCCAGTTCATGTGGCCGTACGTATTCGTTAATTAGGCCAATCAGCTCGGGTCGTGGAATACCACTGCTTTGTTTGGATGGTTCTGAAGGTAGCAGTTCTTTTCTATCGGAAGAAAACATCGACAGTTTTGTAAGGAGACATTACGACAGTTCAGGTAATCCCATCACAGTCTTTGGTGACAGCAGCAGCAGTGGCTGTATGATGACCGTAACTGTAAGTAGGATGCACCATTTCACAGACCGAAAATTGTCCTCTGTGAAATCGAGCTAAGCTACCTGGGGTGTCTTTGATACCCGCTTCAGTTTTCCAGCTGCAAATCGTGTGCAGAGAGCAGCAGTAATTGCTTCCAGCTTCTGCCAACACAAGATAAGATGCTTAGGAAGAGCTGAGCGACGTAGGTAACATTTAATTTTTCACGCTTTAGAGATCTACATCAACGTTCAGCCGTAGCACCCTTTCGGTTTCCAATTGCCATGCCGCCAGGAGAAAGCACGAAGGCTGGGATACTGCCAGGTTGCCCAAGCCTAGACAGGGCAAGTCGAGAGGCAGAGGCTGGGTTCGAAACGAAGACCTTCTGTCAGTAAATTCGCGCTCTAACCACTGAGCTATCACATCATAAACGGTAGTTGTGATACAAGAGCACTGCTGGCCTTGTTACCACACTGTCTGTTGGTACCACCGAACACCGGTGCGTTCACGTCTAGAAAAATGGTGGTCGCCAACCTAAGCGAGTCTACCGGTTAGTACTTTCGTAAGCAATTAGCAAGACAGAGACAGACAGCCTTCGGGACGTTCTCGCCTTGCGTAGGGCGTACAAAAAAATTGTGTACTGTTCCCGTAAGAACATCCTCCATCTCCTTGATTTGGTCACTCCGGAATTCCATACATTTCAGTGAACCCTTGAAACGCCAATATCAGACTACTTATATCTCCGCACACCCCACAGAAGCTCGACTTCACCGTGGTTAAAAAAATGTGGATATTTCTGAAACCCCTTGAACTAAGCCAACAGTCACTGAATGGACATGAGACAACCTACTTGTCCTTTTTGTTGAGTGCCACAAAACGTAAGGCGACTAGTTCCTAAAAAACTTATGGTCCAATTTAAAATGCAAACACTCACTCTCTTCCTGTCAGACGTTTCATCTAAGAGATTTTGGACGGTAGTCTTAATTGTCCTTACAATTAAGTCCGCCAATAGGCCAGCATGAACGAAATTACCAACCTGGAAGCTAAATAATGACTTTGTATCCCGTCGGTCGTCACGTGGTCTAGCCACACACTTCGACTTGTGTAAAAATAGATCGGCAAACGGAGATACTTCTGCAACACCCTTTCCTAAGAACTTCTATACACCTCACCTACCCCACTCCACTGACAGTATGCACTCAAAATGCCCAACTAATAGAACTCACAGACGTGTTAGCCTTCCATTAACTCCGACAGCAGCGATGGCTAACGAGTGCAGTTCCTAATTCAATCGCCACCGAGCTACTAGACGAAAAGAAAATTCACCCACTCCGTTCGAAGAGGGAAGTGAAACTCACGGTCGGCACTTTGACTACTCTGTCAATATACGGGAAAAAGGAAGCCGTCTAAACCAACTGGGCCGTAAAATCCGCGCACATGCCATACATCTGCTATAATTTCGTTCGTCGATGATTTGAGGAAGTAGGGGTGGGTAGCTAATCACTAGAGGCGGTAGCTGATATAAGTGGTGGATCAATGCAGGTACAACGGTGGACATGTCAATGAGGAGGCCGGGGAAGGAAACTACGCATTTCAGGCGAGTTTGAATGCATGCGCACCGTTGAGAGCCCGACCGAAAATGTCTAACCACAGATATGCCTGTCACGATTGTTGTCTGCCTACTAATATAGTCATTCTACATGCCTGTGTTGAATCTTTGTATACACATTCCAGCTCATTCACGCTTGTTTTTCGGGAAGTAAAACGTTGTTTATCCTAGAAAACCCGGACTCTCTTTTAACTCGTTCTCGGATACATTCTAAACGTCTCTATTTACTTGTCTAAGAACAAGCGTGGATGAGCATGCACTAATATACATTGCAGAGAACTGTATAGATAATACCGTCATTTCCTGATGGATTCGACAAGCGAGAAGAGTCATTCTGCCATCTAACAGGAGAGGAATCTATCAGGAAATGGCGGCACTATCTACTAGGAAGGTCTCCCAAATTTACTACTGGTCAGCGTTCGGTCACATTCATGTACAGCGGTAGACAGAAGGGCAAAATGAAAAAAGACAAAATACAACGCTAGAGAATTGAGTTATCCGAGCATGAGTATGTCATCTGTCGACCTGGAGAAGGCAATCATGTCACCGATGCTTTGTCGCGCAACATATGTGCTTCCATGAGGAACAACAATCAACATATGGAATTCCATAATTCACTCTGTCATCCAGGAGTTACCCGTGTCTTGTTTTGTGCTGCAGGAGTCCCCCTACTCCGCCGACGACATCGAGTGTTATTTCATCCTGCAACATGTGCCGAGATGAAGCCAAGATTATGGGAATCCGCTTTAAAACAGCATAACCTTTTGAGCACCCGAGTTTGGTCCCTTGCTATCTAATGCACGATGACTGACGAGCTCTCCAGCTCGTCTTTTGCATTTGCGTGTGCGGATATAACCCCAGGAACTGTGACTGACTGTCCCACAAATCCTCTGTTTACTCGGAATGCCAGCATATATTCAGTTCAATAGAGGCTCATAGCTCATTTCGTCTGATGCCAAAAGTTCTCTCTATTGGGAGTACCAGCTCCGAACGTAACGGGACTACATAACTGTCAATGGAATAACCGTTTTTGTTGAGACAGATTTCATTGGTTGTTCTTCACTCGCCCTTGACAGATGAGTTGTATTCCTAGTATCACTTTTGGCCGGCTGTACGCGACAGTGATGAGTAGAGCAGCTGGCTCGCATGTGCATTGACTTTTCCTGGTTTGGTCAAGCGCTCTAAGCGATCAAGCGACTATCCAGAACGAAGTTCACGGTAATAAGAAGGCATTAAGGGAGTGTGGTCAATGAACTATCCTGGAAAAAGTCGCTGATATGAGTGATACATGGGCTTATAATCCCCAGTGTGAATGTCGGGTCGAGCTTCTCAAACGTATCCTCTGGAAAATAATAAGCTTGGCGTTGAAAACTCACAATCTGCCGTCACTTCGTTGGGAATCGGTACTTGCTGATGCTTTACACAGCCTCCGATCACTGTTATGTACGGCTACTCACAATGCTCCACAAGAACGTTTGTTTCAATACGCACGCCCCTCAACCTTTGGAATCTCGTTACCATCTGGGTTGATCACTACTGATCCAGTCCTGCTGTAGCGAGGTGATACGTCATCCAAGCACTAACCACTAACAGAGGAAGTCGACCTCCTGAACTGCAACACACACTATGCAAACATTGCTCATCGCAATGGAAGAGTCCAAACCGCGTCCAACCGCCGTCTAGCCCCAGCGGTTCAGAATACAGCTGACGACATTTTCAATCTGTCTGAATCCAATAGGGGCAACAAACACCCAGACATGACTGAAACAACCGGACATCAGCCCGATGGCTCTCAAATACATGAACCCTCTTTGGTACCATCTTCCGAAGACCAACCGAGTCATCCTGAAACTATAAGAGAACAACTGAGCTTTCATCCTTATAGTTTAGGGACCAGATAAGCCTGACGCAGTACATTATCCAACAGCTAACTCGGTTCATACGTGCCAATTAAAACGATGCCGGGGTGAATGTCATAACTGTTAATATATTACATTATGAGATGGCCCAAGTAGTTGGAGCACGAATTTATTGAACGGGAGGTCCGTGGTTCAAACCCAACATCTGGCTCTCGACCTCCCCTATCTAAGCTTGGGCAACCTGACAGTATCGCAGTTCTCGAGCTTCCTTCGGGTTGCATGGCAGTTGAGCACCAAAAGGGGGCTACAGCTGAATGATACTATATTACATTATCTTACATAATTATATTATATCATATTATATTATAATTATATTATATTATATTTATATTATATTAGATTACATTATAATACA